TATTTGTGTTCTGAGGCTGCGGTGTGGACCTCATACTGCAGCCCCCGGCCTTGGCTGGGAAGAACCTGGGTGCGCAGAATTCAGAGGGGCCTTTGGTGTCGTTTTCCACACCAAGACCTTCTTACTAGTCTCTGACCCTCAGCAGCCAGGGCTGCAAACAAGAAGGATTTTACTCACAGTGGACGCGGTGTCCCCAAGGTCTGTGCTAAGAGCATTACGCTGCCTTTGCAGTGCCCTCGGGTCTGTGCTGAGGAAAACGCAGCTCCACCCTCGCGATGCCCCCGCCACCCTGCCCCGCGGTCTGTGCTGAGGAAAATGCAAGTTCACCCTTGCAGAGGCCCCCAAGGTTTGTACTGAGGAGAACGCAACTCTACAGACCGCCATGACAGGCGGCACGCAGGCGCTGTGACTGGAGGCACGCTGGCGCTGTGACGCCACGCATTCCGGTGAGCTTGGGCGCCCCCTGCTGACTGCCGGGCATGGCAGGTCCCTCTTGCTGGCGGTGCTGTGCCCACGCCCCCTGCTGGCGGCTAAGGCCACTGCAGGGCCCTCTTACAGTGCGGTGACCAGCATTCCCTGCTGGCTGCGGGGGCACTGCAGGGCCCTGTTGCTCAGTGTAGAGGCAGCACGGCCCCTGCTGACAACCAGGGCAATGCAGGGTCCTCCTGCTCATGGTGTGGTGCCCATGCTGCCAGGCCTTCTTGCTCACGGCGTAATGGCAGCACGCCCCATGCTGGCCACTGGGGGAAATACAAGGCTCTCTTGCTTGCAGTGTTGTGGCAGCATGCCCCTTGCCGGCTGCTGGGGACACTGTAGGGCCCTGTTGCTCACGGTGTGACACCTGGTGCCCCCTACTGGCCTACTTCGGCACCACCTAAAGTGGGAGTGCCAGTTATTCAGCATCCACAGTTCTGGAAATTTAAACTGAAATGGAGCTATTATTGGAGAGCGCTGATGTCCCAGTTCTTGTCTAACTTGGAAGAAAGGAAGAAAGGTTTTCACCAAGAGGCGGTACAAAGATGGCAGATAACTTCACTGAAAATAAATATAGTGTAAAGAGCTTAAAAATAGGTAGGCGCCAAGGGAGGAGCAGACTGATCCTGCAGGAAAACAGCCCAAGGGTCCTGTGCAGGGAATTTTAATTTGGACTTCTTCACATTCCTGCCTCTGTTTCAAGTCTCCGCCTGTTTTGTCTGATAGATTTTCTCAACAAAGTAAAAAATGATGAGGTACAAATAATATATTTAAACTTAATGTTGCAAGTTTTAATATACCTACTTTTCAATTTTCAATACTGTTTTGCCTACTTTAAGAAAAGTAAGAAAAATGACTAATTAAAACATGAATAAAAGTGTTATAGGGGTGCACATGTTTCCTCCAGCCTCAGGCTTGGGGTGACTTGAAAGATGCCTGCCCATCCCCAGCTTTCGTCCCAGATGTCCTAATGTCGGCTCTAAGCATTTCTCTTTTCTCTATATAGAGATCTTGCCCCAGAAACAAACCCAAATCTTACCATATGTTATGGCACGCTGTGATGATGAGCAGCCAAAGCCTCAAGCAAGGGTTGCCTTTGTAAACAAGACTTGTAGAATATGACATCTGAAAGTAAAGCCCATGGTGGAGTTCCTGTCTCAGCACACGGTGAGCAGACAGGAAGCTTTTGCCTCCCTTTCCTCACCTGGCCTGCAGTCACGTCTCCCCAGGTCAGTCTTGAGGAGAACAAAACGCTGGTCTTCACTGTGGACATGCTACCAGCTGCTCCAAAGTCATGGCCTCTCCTCTGGTGGGTCCTCAGAACAAAGCTCTGGTTCTAATCCTAACCCTAACCCTGTCCCTAGACTTTGACCCTGACCCTAAACCCTAATCCCTTCCTTGTTCCCTCATTCTGACCCTTACTTTGACCCTGACTTTGATCTTGACCCTGACCATGACCCCACCTCTAACCATACTTCCAGCCCTGACTCTGACCCAGACCTAATCCTAGCCCTAACCCTATTGTTATCTTTATGATCTATCTCTAATCTTACCATCTAGTACTAAATAGCTGTACCCAAAAGCACTTTTGAATTATATAAGTTCTTTTCCTTGAAGGACAACCTAAAGAAAATGTCATTATGTATTTTGCAGTCCTTCTGAGTGGTATGGCTTCAGATAAGAAGCTCTAATACTTTGCAAGCCATGAAAAGTTCAGAGGGTAATAGTACTGACTTGTTAGGGACACATGCTGTCATTCACAATAGTCATTGGTGCTGTTCTCCAAATAGTTTCAGTTTACTTTTTATGAATGCACTCTGACTGTTCCAGCCCGCCTAATTAAATTTTTGCATGGCCACATGATTTATTTATTTATTTATTTATTTATTTTATTTTATTTTATTTTTTTGCCAATGGAGGTGAGAAAAAAAAATGTGACTTTTTCAGGAGAAATCTCCAGGAAACAGAGTTCTATTGAGCATGCTTTTTCTCTTTTCTATAGCAATGGGGATCTTATTGATGGTACCTCCCTCAGCCTGGATTCCTGTGTTAGGATGATATAGCACAGACCTACCTCTCACTTGACCCATAATGAGATGTAAATAAATGAGGAAGAAGATTTTTGAACCGCTGAAATTTGGAAGTTGTCTGTCACAATGGTTTAACATAGCCCCCAAATGACCGATGCAGGGCTGAAGAATGAATCAGAACTGGATCTGGACAAGACGTGAGGAGCACTCCAGGCAGAGTAAAATTCAAGTCTTGTCTCACAGATAACAGTGAGCACGACATGTTATTGGGGTGGGTGTGGGATAAATAAGGTATATCAGGTGAGAATAATGAGAAACTCAACTTCAAAAGACAGTGCTAATATGGACTGTGGAGAGATTCAAATGCCCTGCTTAGCATTTGAGAATGTAATAGTTGAGCAAACTAAGGACCCTAAATGAAGGCTTGGGATAAATATTTGGGGGTGTCTAATATCCCAATTTTTCATCCTAGAATGGGCAGAGTCCTTGACCCCATTCTAGGGAGACTTCCAAAAGAAAAAAGACTTGCAATTCTCCAACAACCCACATTAAGAGACTTTCCTGCACTTTTGACCTGTGGCTAACACTCCTCACCTTTCATTCTGTCCTCAGTGTTTTGAGGAAACACCTTTAACTCTCTATGACTTACAGGTTATTAAGTGGCCCTTATAATTCCCTCCAGAAATTGAAAAGACTAATAATGATGGTATCTGAGCTCACAGCAGCAAGCAGGCATTTGTGCTCATCAGCCACGTGACTTATCTACTAGGAGCTTACTACATACAATGTTCTACAACATTGCTTAACACAAGGGGAGAATCTCCTGACTCAGAGGGTTTAATTGCTCACCTACTTCTTTTTCTGCCCTCTTGGGCTCCTAAAATTAAAAGAACCCTGGGGTGATAAAATAAGTCAAATGGTTGCCAACAATATCACAGAAAAATAACGATTCCTAAAAAATCCCTGGCCTTTGATGACAGCCTTGACTGGGTAAGTTTGAATGTGCTGATAGTGGGCTTGGGAGAGGGAAGGTGGTTAAAACGTTCATATTAAAGAACTTCCACCCAGATTGCAAGAAAAGAGAGAGGAATGGAGATGGCAGCATGAGTCCCTACAAGAAAAGCAGATGTTTTGAGATCAGTTATATTTATTCTGACAAAAATTAGAGACAGAAACCAAAGTTTAGCCTGAGGCTAAAATTAATTGTGCAATAAGCCAGAGGCACATATGTCATAGACAGATTTAAACATTTCTCCCTTATATTAATACAAATACTAAAATTACAAATAAATTGATTCCAAATAAAACAATTATCTAAAAAATTTAATGAATAAACCCTGGGGTCTACAGTAGTATTTAAAGGAGATCTCACAAACAGGTTTGGTTTTTGAAGGTTAGAACTGATGGTCTAAAGAATTCATTTTGTTCTAGAGAGAGAAAGAGAGGAATTTCTTGGGTTCCTTCAGGAATGCGTCTGACTTTGCTTCATCTTTGTATGTTTGAACTATGCATGTGGCAGAAGAAAACATGAAGATTTAACAGATTTAAGGTGTGAAAAGTCACTGGGTTCTCTAAGAAGCTTGGGATTCTTCTGCTGGAAAAATAAGTTTGTTGAGAAAAAATGAGTTGGAGGAGATTGTTATTGAAGTGAAGCAGAATTGATTTTACTAATCTGCTTATTACCCACTTTGTAGTGTGGAAACAAATTATTCATGCACAAGCTCTTCTTACTGTTCCTGGAATGCAGAGGAAAGAGAACAGATTAGCTTTTCTCCCTCAGAATACAACCATTAGAGACGGCCTACCTCAGATGAGATATTGCTTAGTTATTTTCAAAAGACAGTGAAAAAGGATGGATATAAATGTTTGCTAAAAAATAAATGCATACTAGAAAAAGAAGCATCTGGGTCACAGATACATTAGCACCAAATATGTTCCCCTGTCACTGAGAAAAAAACAAAAGTATCCAATAAAATCATTCACAGTGTGGGAGAGGGGAAGTTGAAGGATGGAAAGGCCAGGCACAAAAGGATTTCAGAATTTCAGTCTATAAGGAAGTGGCTTTGCAAATTATCTGTTGCTATGTGCAAGGTGAAGTCTGGGGCAAGAAAACGTGCAGTGACAAGGGATCCTTTGTCCATCTCATCTCTCTAGACACCAAGTTTTGGACATGTTGCATTTTAATTGAAAGGTTGAGACACACACACACATATATATAAATATGTATGTGTATATGTATATATATATATATAT